GTGAAAAAAGGTACACCAAATAATGTTAAGAAACCCATTTCTATTTTTAAAAATAGTTCTTGATTAATATTTTGAAACCATTTATTTTACTTCTTACAATTATTTGGTCTCTGACTATTATTTGGTCAACTGTAATACTCCTATGGTTTGGTAATAAAAATAAAATAATTTGAATAATTTACTAAGCACTCCAATCAGACTCTTCTTCTCCATCTTCAGACGAGTCGTTTTGAATATCAACTCTTCTCATGTTCATAGCTTTCACAAGCATCTGCACGACGTCGTTTTTATCTTCTTCTTTTGGTTGTTTTTGTACAGTCTGGTCGACTTTTTTAAGTTTGAATCCTTTTTTAATTTGATCCAAAATGTTTTCGCTGTTGTTATTATCTTTTTTTGGTTTAACTTCTTCTATTTTTACATTTAAAACCACTGCCTTTTTATTACTTATCGGTTTTGTTGTTTTTTCGATTTGTTGTTGTGGACAAATAGGTGGAGGTAATAACCCGGGTGGTGGTAACAATTCAAGTGGTGGTAAAACGTTTTCTTATTTCTTTTCAATATGTACATGTTCTGTTTTAACGGTAGCACTTTCGTTGACTTTTTCTTCAACTTTTGGTTCTTCGATTTTCGCTTCATTTTTTATTTCATTTCGTACTTCATTATTTGTTTCATTTTTGACTTCGTTTTGAACAACAACAGTTTTTGGTTTTACTTCATTTATTACTTCATTTTGTTTTTCTATTTTTACTTCATCAACTTTTGCTTTTACTTTATCTGCAACATCCTCAACGATTTTCTCTATTGGTTTTTCTTCTGTATTATCTTCCAATTTTTCAGTCTTCTTATCAACATTTTTAACTTTAAGTTGCGTCTTTTCTTCATCTGAATTTATTGGTTTAGTCTCTTCTTTTACTGTTTCAATGACTTGTGGAGTTCCAGTAGGTTTATCTTTCTCTGTAATCGATTTTCTTCTTTCAATTTCTTTTTGTAACATATCTTTGTCAAGTCCCTCCTTTAAATATCTCATCGATTGTCTTCTCTTTAAAGTACTTTTTGTCAATTTATTTGCACTGACTGCAGTAATAGCTTTGTCTTCTTTGTTAGCCATAGAAGCTTCAAGTGACTCGAGAGACTCCTTTGATATTTTTCCTTGTGCTGCTGCTTCTCTGACCGTCACCAAAAGAGCCTCGAGGACTTCTGGTTCTGCCAAAAATCTTGGTTTGACCTTTGCAGCCTTTAAAATTGATTTGAGTTTTGGGGACAACCACGTCGTATTAATTAAAATTTGCTTCTTCATAGAAATCAAATTTCTGTATTTCTTGGGCATGATTTTTGAGGTACTAATAAGCTTCCTCATTGAGTCCATTTGTTCACTGATAATCTCTTTAGACTTGTCGTCGCACTCATCCTTCTTAGTAAAGACCTTTTTAAAGCAATCAAAGAGTTGTCCGTATGTCTCTCTTAGTATTGTGATGGATTTCTTTAGACTTGCCATCTGCACCTTTTGAAGTTCTGACTTGGTGATCGAAACGTTTTTAACAGACTCAGCAAAGCCTTTTGGATCGTCTGCGACTAATTTAGGGTGCTTGGAAAAGTCCTCGAGCTTCTTCTCTGTTTTTAAACACTCTTTTAAACGGTCGGACTTTGTTGTCTTAGCTTCTTTCTCACAAGTGTCAACTTCTTTGGAAAACCCACTCATGTCACATTTGATGATCGACATCGACTCTTTGAAGACGTCGTTGATCTCTTTTAAATTGGTCTTCCACAACTTAAAGACTTCACAAATGTTCTTCACACCAATGGAAAGGTCTTGGTGAATTGTTTCACCACTTGGTGTGACTAAATCAGACATATTCTCAAGTGCAGATGTCAATATGTCTGTTGATTTTATCATGGCGGATTGGGATTTGTAATATTGTTCTAATGCACTGTTCAGAGTTTTATAATTTGGAACCATTTTGTGCAAGATGAAAAACGTTTCAGTAGTGCACTTTTCAACTTCGGCCATTTCTTCGGAAGTCTTAATGTCAGTTGGTTTGGTTCCTTTCATTTATTATTAGGAAGTTCATTAAATTCATTTTTATATGTGTGTATTGTATTGTTTTTTTGATATTTTTGTCTTTCATTTTAACTTGTTTTTGAAGGAATATGCTTGTAGTTTTTCATTATTTAAAATTATTTAATGTCATATAAGTATATTTTTTGGATTTAAATGCATTTTTATTGAAAAAATGATCAATTTTTCATAATGTAATTACACTCAAATAATTAACTTGAATAGAAAAAACAAACAATTTATAGTTATATTCATTAAAAATTAAAATTCTTAAATATTTTTTTAAAAAAAACAGTTTTAATTTAATCTACTACACACTAGATTAACAAACGAATTTAAATTACAAAAAAATATATTTCAGTTTAAATTGTAATTGTGAATATTGTTTTTTCTCTTTTGTTATTGAAAGTGATTTTACACTGTTTAAATATGTAATAATATTATTTTTATATATAAAAGGGTTTAAATTCATTTGAAAATTGTATTATTAATAAAAAAACAACACCCTGTATTATTAACATTTATAATGAGAACAGTAACTTGTTGTAAATTAAAACGAACACTGAATTATTCAATTATTTTGGAATATAAGAAGCCATTTTGCAGGTATAGTCAAAAGTTGATCCAGAAAAATACTGAAGATTGTAATAAATGATAAAAGTACCTTCTTTATTAATGTATGTTGGACCAACTTGAAATACTTTTTGATATGGTTCTTTTGAAAAATCAACATCAGAATGATCAAGCAATTGAGAGTCTTGTTTTTCACCTCCAACATATCTTTCTGCTGTAACGTTCAATTTTGCAGCATATACATTTGGATTAATAACTTCAAGTATTGAAGTGAAATTGTAATTAAGAACCAATTTTTTAATTTTGGCTTTTTGAACCCAAGCTCCTTTTTGAGACACAGTAAAATTCAGGGGTGTTACTATCGCATAAGTAACAGCAAAAAATAAAAAATAAACAACCATTTGAATGAAATGCTTGTTCTAATGAGGTTTAAATAACAAGATTAATAAGTTGAAAAATGAAACAATTAAAAATTAAATTGTCATGTTTTAAAAACAAATTGTAAAAATAACATTTTCAAATTTTTGTCTTCATTATAATACAAACGAACAAATTAGAGAATAACACGTTTTTTAAATTGGTCAAAAGAAATGGTGATTTTCGTGTTGTTGTTATTATTAAATGAACAAAAATACGTAAAATTAAATAATAAACAAAAGTTTTTATAAAAAAATAAAGAAACATAAAAACAACAAGATGTCGAAATAACAAGTTGAAAAGTTGTTATTGTTTTTATGAAAACAAAATTGTACAAAATATTTTAATTAATATTTTATAACAATGAAAAAATATAACACTTACGTACCAATATCTTGTTTTTTTGTTAAATTCAAATTGTTATTTCTATTGAACAAGCTATCAATTTTATTTTTTGACAAAACAATTTAACATCTAATTTGATATATCAACTCTTAAAAACTCAGATATTTATTAAATGTTACTGTTGTCATTATTTGTATTTGAAATATTATCTCAGGAAATTGAATATGACTTACTCCTTGAAGATTGCCCAATTGGGTTTAGAATTGATAACTCTGGATTTGATCTGTATGATGATTCGATCCGGTTTTTATTCAAGATGACCGCGGATTACAATTACACAAAAGCGGAAATCGAGTTTGGAGGTAAAAAATTTATAGGTGAATTTTATGAAGGATTTGAAAACTATGGGACTATTGATTTTGTCAAAGGTTTTAAAAGAGAAAAAGAAAATTTTTTAAGAGCAGGTACTTACAAACTTGGAGTGGATGTAGCTAGATCCAAATTTCCAAAGGAGTTCACATATAAACTTGGAGCCAATTCGGTTTTTGGAAATAATGGAAACAATCAACAATATTTTTTCCAAGCCCCATTTAATCCCAATTAAATAATATGTTTTGGATTTTTCTGATCTAAATGTTGTTTTTATCTTTTAAAAAAAATAAAAAATTAGTTTATAATTATTCTAACTAGTAATACAAACAATTATAATTTAAAAAATTACCATAAATTTTTTAATTAAACACGTTTAACTTTATTTTGTTTATATGTCACAAGTAATAATATTATAATTAAAAACAACAATCATAACACACTAACAATTATTTATATAATTTAATTGTTTATAAAAATCTTTTTAATAAAATAAGTAATTGAGTTGATATTTTGCAAATATTTTATTTAACTCTTTCAGCAAATATTATTCAGAACGTTATAAACAGGGAATATGCCCTATTTAAAAGTAGATACAGTTTTAAATAAAGTTAAACTGGTTCTCGAGTTAAATCCACATTTGTGTAATTTGAGTTTAACACTCATTTTTTAACCATCAACAAAAAATCAAAAAACTTTAAAATATATCAAACAAAAATATATTATTACATTATATTTTCAAGCTGTTGTACAACACTCTCGGCATTGGGTCGACTTTTGTGGTTGTGGCACCAACATTTTTCAATAAGCAGAAATTGGTCTTCTTGAATTGGCTCGGCTATTTTTAATCTATTTTTTCCAATAACAAACTCTGCTATTTTCCAAGGAAACTTAAATTCAGTTTTATTATAAGCTTCTTTCCAACTAAATACTTCATACATGGTGATAGCAAGTGAGTATATATCAGCCGCTTTAGTATATTTTTCTTTTTGTAACACTTCAGGTGCCATATAGACTGGAGTTCCAATACCTTTAGTGAAGGTCATGTTAGTCATCAACAAGTTGATGTTTCTACTACTTCCAAAATCAGTCAATTTAGCATTTACTTTTTCATTTAAATCCAATGAGAATACGAGAATATTATCTGGCTTAATATCTCTGTGTAAAATCCCATTTGAGTGTAAATACAATATTCCTTTAGCACACTCTGAAATAAATTTAGTTCTTGTCTTCATTCTTGGGAGCTCACTCCTCTTCTTTTTCATTAAATCTGCAATACTTCCAAATTGAGCAAATTCGGTGACCATACATATCTTATTTGGTATAAAAACGGCACCATAGAAGTGGACGATGTGATCACTCCTAAATTTGTCTAACATAGAAACTTCATTCTCAAACTCTTGTTTTGCTTTCTCTTCTTTGTCTAAAGTTGCTTGCTTCATCTTTTTAATAGCAACTGTATTTCCTCTATAAGTCCCTTTGAAAACGATTCCAAAAGATCCTTCTCCTAATTTAATATTTTCAATCAACTCGTCGTAATCCAGTCGTGTTGAGTTCTCTGTGGTCAGTGTAATTGAAATTGGGACTGATGACATTTCACCCTTTTCAATATCCATAGCCACTATCATTATTTCATCGTGCAATTTCATAGTGCAAAATGGTGTTAAAAAGACTTCAAATTCGCACGCTTCACCCTTTTTGAGTGTAACTAACTGCGGCTCTGTTCGTATCGAATATTTGTCACACCCGCCACGTGTTGTCATTTGAATTTTTAAAATACCTTTTCCTTTGTTACCAAGACATAACAATTCACGACTTTCAGATCCAACTGGAAGTGTATCTGAAATATCTGTGAATGTTAGAGACTGTTTGTTTGTCAAAATATTGTTTTCCAAAACACTCATTGAAATATTAGAACGATTAATTTTAAATACACAGACGTTCTTCATCTTTTTAGTTTCTTTGAGATTAATTACAATAGTTATTGTTACTATAATTATTATTATAATAAATATAATAACAATAATAACTACAGTAATTGGAATTCCTATGATAACACCATAATTGGTTGAGTCTATACAACTTAATTTGTCTTCACTCAATTTAAACTGGTCATTACATTTTGAACATTTGCTATCTAAAGACTTAACACAATTGTCAATATAAGAATAGTGAAAACAATTTCCTGTTATCAAAACATTTGTATCTATACATGAAATACACTCATTTTTTCCTTCACAATGTGTACAATTGCTCTCACAATTTAAACATAAATTCGATGATAAATAATACCCAGTTTCACATTGCGTACACCCTTCAGTTGTTTTATTTATACATCCAATTAACTCACTTTGGGGAGAACAATATTTTGATGAAGTGGATGAAGTTCGATAATATGAATCATTACAAAGAATACAATTTCCATCATTTGTACATGTCTTACAAGAAACATCACATGGTATACACGACGTCCCATCTATGTTCCTCATGAACCCATCTTTGCAGACTACACACCCTCGATATGTGGACATCAATACTTCACAAACAGATACAAGTACATTAATTTCAGTGCAAACACCTTTGTTATCTGCATATGAATATGAATCACATTTGGTGCAATACGTCTGATTTGAACAGAAAACACACGGATATTCACAGACTTTGCAATTGCCATTTGAAAGATAATATCCTGTCATACAACGAATACACCCTTTTGAAGTAATTTCTTCACAATAATTACTATAAGTCGGTTCTTCACTTTTTGATATACTTTTAGTTAATAAATTTGGATATGAAAAATTGAGTTCTGTTTGATTTGATTCTTCTTGTTTTACACAGGAATTATTATTGAGTATGAATCCAGTTTCACATTCAAGACACTTAGAATTTAATGAAGATACAATTTCACAATTCAAATATATCAAACTCTTTTCTTTACAGCCGTCAACATCTTTATAATACCCAAACTTACACTCAATACATATTTTGTCAAAATTAGAACATTGTAATGTTGAAATATCAACACATTTCCCGTTTATGTTGATCGAATTTTCACATGTAATACAAATATTACCATTTTGAGTTACACAATTAATATCATTCAATGTACATATTCCATCTGTTATGTGGTGATTTTTTGAACAATGAATACAAGTACTTCCAGTAATATTCAAACATTCAACATCTGGTACACAAATATTATTACTTAAAATATAGTCAGCAGAACATTTTAAATTTGTTAAAATACTATTTGAAAACACACAAATTGAATTTACACAATCTTTAATATCACCGCTTAAAGTTGAGTAAAAATTATTTACACTTTTATAACAATATTTGTTATTTGACACAACACAATTTTCTTTTGATTCGCCGCATAAAATGTCATCATCACAATACAAACACGTAGTTTCGTTTTTATTGTTGTATGTATATTTGCAATCTTTTGCATTTGTACACACTCCAGTTGTTGTAATAATATCAAATAAACATTTGTCACAACCATTATGAGAATATTTCATGCATGGAATACTGTAGTTATGACATTTATTTTCAATCAATACATACGCCCATTTACACAAGTAACACAATTCTCCAATTTGATTAATGCATCCATTCATGTTAATAGAAGTGTTAAATAATTCATTATTATAATATGTTGTATTTGTATACGCCAAATTGCACATCTTTTTATTTTCTGATACACAATATGGTGCAAAACATTTTAAACAGATTTGTTCATTATTTATATAATCGGCTATTTGACACCTTGAAATCGCTTCATATGAATATACACATGTTGTTTCTGTGCTTTTGACTTTTCCTTCTTCACAAGAAATACACATCTCTCCATTTGTTATCAAATTATCTGAACAGGAAAAACACTCCTTTGACATTTTTGAACACGTCGAACATTTAAGATGGATATCACTGCAAGGCAAACAATTGTGATTTTCATCCAAAAATGTTCCTTCTTTACATAAAGTACAAACACCATCAGAAGTCTCATTGGTACAAGAATTGCAATTGCCTGTTGAAGAACACGAGATGCAACTCTCTCCAACTTTTTTGTTACCCGGCTCACAAGAAGTGCAAGCGCCATTGATTGGGTCACAACTTTTGCATTCATCGGAACAGTCCAAACACTTTGAAGTTCCTCCAATAGAGTAAGTAAGGTCATTACATTGTGTACAAATGCCACTGTTAAACCCATAACCAGCAAAACATGTTAAACAATATCCACTTTTTGCATCACAACTTTTACAAGAAATGTCACAGTTTGTACAAGTAGTTTGGCCTTCAGTATTTTGGTACTTCATTGCTTCACAACTTTTACATGAGGAATCAAGATAATAAGTACCCACTGGACAGATGGTGCATTTTCCAGAAGACAAACCATATCCAGATATACAATTGATGCAATCGCCAGTTGTGACTGTACATCCGTCACATTTTGAATCACAACTTGAACAAGAAGAAGCACCCGAAAGGGAATATTTCATCTCTTCACAACTTTTACAATCTGTTGAGCGATCCAATGAATAAGTACCTGAAGGACATGTTTCACATACATTTGTCGTTTGGTTCGATTTTGTGCCAGCCTTGCATTCAATACAAATGCCATTTGATAACACTGTACCATCTATACAATTTGTACAATATCCAGTCAACTTATCACAAGCACTTCGACAAAGTAAATTACATTTTTGACATTTTTGTGATCCTTTTATATTGGAATAAGTACCATCGGAGCATGAAATGCAAGTTGAACTTTTTTGAGTTGATGAATAAGCCCCAATTGGACATTCTTCGCATAGAAAACTTGAATTACTAAAAGACCCGGCTGGGCAATTCGCACATTTTTTATCCGAAATACCCATTCCTGATTCACAAGAAGTGCAATACCCATTTGTTTTATCACAACTTTTGCAAGAAGAGTCACAAATTGCACATTCAATACTTCCCATCACAGAATAAGTCAAATCTGGACATGATAAACAAATGCCGTTATATGAATATGTGCCAGCCTCACATGTATCACATTTTCCATCTTTTAAAGTGAATCCATTTAAACATGTAAGACAATTTCCATTGGTTTGATCACACGTTTCACATGTACTTGGGCACATCAGACACACAGAAGATCCTATTATGGAGTAATAATTTGTTTGGCATTTTGAGCATTTTGATTTCCCTCCTATTGAGTAATAAGAAGCGGGACAGACCGTGCATTTATAATTTGTAGCGTCGTATGAAAATCCAGGATTGCATCCGGTGCAATCGCCAGTAGTTGACGAACACGTCTGACAACTATTCGAAGTGCAATTTCGACATACAGAAAATCCTTCTTGTGAATAAGAACCGACTTTACAATCGTAACATGTTGAACTTCCGGCTTTGTCTGTATATGTTCCTGGGGGACAATAAATACACCGAGAACTACTTTCTGGAGAATAAGACCCTGTTGGACATTGGGAACAAGAGGAGGCTCCTTTATTTGAATATGTCCCTGCACGACATGTTGTGCATGAGTTTGATCCACCGTATGCTGAATAAGTCCCACCTTCACATGCATCACATCTAATCGAACCAGAATAAGCAGAATAATATCCAGAAGGACAATATGAACAAGATACAGATCCACCAGTTGAGTAAGTCCCCGGTTGGCATAAGGAACATGACGTAGCTCCACTTCTTGAGTAAGAACCAGCGTCACAATTCTTACAAACAGAAGAGCCCGAAGAACTAGAATAAGTCCCAGCACTACAACTGGTGCACGTCGACGCTCCATATGACGAATAAGTACCCTCAGAACATTGTCTACAAGAAGATGAAGCCGAGCCCGAGTAATATCCAGCATTACATGATGAACAAGTCATTGATCCACTACTTGAAGAATAAGTCCCACTTTGACAAGGTGTACACACAGCAGAACCAGAATATCGGCTGTAGTAGCCCATACTACATGGAGTGCATTTAGTAACTGAACCAGTTGAAAATGTACCAGGAGAACACGGAAAACATGAATTGCCAGATTGATACTGCCCAGAATTACACACCACGGACAAAGTTCTATTTAATAAACATAAAATCAAAAATAGTGGGAAATTGATATAAACCATAAACAATATTTGATTTATTTAGATTGTGTTATCTTAATATTTATTTAATGAAAATAAATTATTTTAATAACAATTGAAAGATTGTGGTTGTCGTTTTTTTAAACTACAGATAATATACTATATTTTATAATAATTAATTTTTTGTTAATAATAAATCAAATTTAATAAGGGTTTTATAACACCATGAATATATTCGAAATAAATAAATAATGATTATTGTATTAATATTTTCAATTAAAATAATATTGTTTATAATACATTCTTTATAATTGGCTTAACAAAATATCGATATTATTTTTTTAACGTATAACATGAATTTATCTTGGTTTCGATATAAATTGTTTATTTATTATCAAACTATTATAATCTTAAATTATTTTATAAGTTATAAATAATAATATTGTATATCTTTTTATAATTAAAACGACAAAAAATATTTATCAGTATTGGCTATTAACTCACCTTGGCATAAAGTAACTCACTTTAACTATTTAAAATTAAATATTCGTCGTTTTACTATAAAACAAACTATACTCATTTAAAAAATTATGTTTAGTATATCCATAGTTTAACAACTATATAAAGGTTGTAAAAATTATTATAAAAATAAACCATAATTAACTATATTCATAATACCTGAAAAAAGAAAATGAAATAAATGGTAAAGAAAAAATTTATTTGGTACAAATAGTATCCAAAACATCAGTATTAAAAATTTGACAAAATTTACATTTTTAATTTTAAATTAAATTGATTTGAGTTGTTGTACAATTTTGTCATAAACTATTGGACAACAAATTTAATATATTTAATGTATATATCTGTTTTAATTTCAATCCAAAATTCTATTATGCCTAAACAAATACATATTATTTAATTTGGTGGAATTCTTTTCGTTGTTAGTATGTAGTTACACATTTAAAAGTTTAAAAGTTTTAATGTTTTATTTAAATTGTATTATATTTTTAATAGAAGTTTAAAATAAACAGTAAATTTTTTGAATTTTTATAAAATCATCAACAAGTAACAATCAAATTAGTCTTTATTTTGCTTTTGTTGTAATGTATTTCTTTAAAATAACAACAATCATAATTGTTGTAATGTTATAGAAATACAATGGTTTGATTTTGTGTGTTGTGAGATGAAAAAATATCATGATAAGCAAGTAAAAATAAAATAATAAATTGATAACAATTGTATATATTATTAACAAAAAGTTGCTGTATAATAATTGTGGATGACGACGCAATGACTTAATTAAAAAAGTATTATACTAGAGTCAGTCTTTTAACGTTATCTGGTCTCAAAAGTTATCTGGTGGACAAAAAATAGTTTTAATTTTGTCTAAACATCGGGCATTAGGTAAACCATTAAACCGAAACAATTGGGATGGATTTTTT